TTTCAGTGGTTTGGCTTCAGGGTTGGTGTTTGTTACCTTTTGCAAGTTAGACTCAATGCCTTTAGGATGACAGGTTTGGTATAATATCTTCTAAGCAGGTTCTGATTATGAGCTGCTCCATAAACTGTTCTGGTTTCATTCACTTCAGGGGAAATGTTAACTCAGTCATGCTTATTAGCATTGAAGTTCTTAGGAAGGAGCTGTGTCTAAGGTTGGGCAACAGGTCACAGTCTTCACACATCACTGGTGGGGGAATGGGAACGTGGTATCTGCTTAAGGTTACAAAGAGAGAGCACAATCAAAATAGGGTCAGGGTGCTGGAGATGCTGGTTCAGAGCTGGTTCAGTGGACTCTAATCTCCTTTAGATTAGCCTTGAACTTTAAATAAATAATTGCTTAAATGAATAGACTTAAGAAGATAAATTCTCAGCACTTCAGTTTTTACCTGGCATTCCTTGCTTGTGTTGGTCTGATGCCTTTTGTTTAAATCTTTTTGTTTGCCTTTAACAAAGCACACTAAAAAATGAAATCAGTTCAGCATTTTAGCGCTATTGAAAATAAAGCTCGAAGTAAATTTAGCAAGCAATTGCAATTTGTTCTGTTTAAATTACAGTGACCATGAACTTAGAGCATTGGCTATAGTTTGACCATCTCAGGCATCAAGCAACTGCTCTTTAAATCCTTCTTTTCCAGTATTATTCTTACTGCTGTATATTGGGGTTCATTGCTTGCTCTGTGTTTCTTCAAATGAGCTTCGAACTCAAAGTTCTGCTCCTGTCCATTGCTGTGACTGTCTACCTCATCATGTTTAATACTTTTCACCACAATAATGTCTTCGCTGGCAACAGCACCAGGTACAGTGGAAAGTTTCATATCATTTAATATTTCATTAAAGAAGTTTAGATTTTTTTTTTTTACACTCACTGGAATGTTGAAATTTCAAAGTCGTGTAAGTCAGACATTGCAAAACTTTCTGTAAACCTAATGGCATGGAAATCATACTACACCATATCATCTATTTTTTTTCTCTCTCTCTTTTTAAACAAAGTCTTGTTTGCTGAATAAAATCTGTAATGTGGCTTCTGAGATCCCTGGAAGCCTTAGCTTACATTAAAGACTTGGGAGTGGAAATCAGTCTCCTAATAAGATTGATCTTGTGCTAAGCCATGAAGAAAAGCCTTGCTAAAAATCTGATGATGAAGCTGTGCTTGTGAGACCTTGCTAGTCAATAGGATGGTGAACTCTTCAGCTTAACTTACTAGGTGCATGTATTCTGGAAAGTAACAGTAATTTGCCTGATCTAATTGAAGAAACTGAAAATGCTTAAGAGAAATCATGTGGAAAGGTTTTACTGTTCATTTGTAAGTCTTTCTCAGGTTCCTTAGCTTAGACTCATAGCTGAAGCTAAATAAATAAGTTTATTTTGCAGAGGCTGCCTGAGTTGTCAGCACACCTTAAAAAAAGCCTGAGACAGCTCTTAATTTAGACTCTTAATCTTTTATACAATGAGAATTCAGTTTGCATTTGTTAAGACTAATAGATGTGGTAAGACTGTCTTACTATGAAATACCAGTGGTGTCTCAGGTACAGGTATGATTTTACTGCTCTCTTTGTTTTAGAAATTCAGGTTTTGATTTGTTATTATTTCCTCCACAAATAAGCAAGTTTCTTTTCCTACCTGAAGGTTTTGTTGGCTGTTTTCTGTTGGGTGGTGTGGGCTGAAAGCTGCAACTCAGTGCAGTGGAATTGAAGATAAATCCATGACTTTGCATTGCTTTCTTGTTTTCAGGCTTTTCATCAAAGAGCCAAGGATAATGACTAATTTATACCTGGTTCTGTTTTATATAACCATAATTTTACTTGCGAAACAGGTATGTACTTAAAGTGCAATTGCTTCGTTCTTTCAGCCAGTTGGTTTAAATAAAAGGGAAAAGTGTTGTTCCTTGAAACTCTGCTCCAAATCAGCATATATTTATAACCTTTTTTTTTTAATATTCTGGTCTTAGTTGTAGATAATGTACTACATGTAATGCAAAAATGTTTACTGTGCAAAGATGAGAACATGTTTATATTTTTCGACAGTGTTTGATTACAGAAATGAGAACTTCTTGATTCTTCCAATTCAGACCTATCTGTATTTATATGTCAATATTTATTCTAAATCAAGGCAGAAATTCAAACTGAAAATAATCACCAGATTATTAAAGTGTCATTTTGACAAATACACCTGATGGGAACAAATGGCATTTGGTCTTACTGTTTTGTGTTTTTCTGGCCTTTGTTCTCAAAGCATATTTTTCATAACTATATAGGCTCAAAAGGCCTTGAAGGAACTATATTGCCACTAAACCTCTTGAATAAATTGGTTAACATTTTTTCAGCTAGGTATTTTATGGATTTAATTGATCATATTTGATCTCTTTGTAGATAGACTATTACTGTCGACTGGATTGTCTGTGGAAGAACAAGTTTAAAAAAGAGCATGAACAGTTTGAAACTATGGAGAATGTTAACAGGCTTTTGCTGGAAAATGTACTTCCAGCACACGTTGCTGCATATTTCATTGGTGAAAAAAGAAATGAGGTATGTTGAGTCTCTGCTGTGTGAAGGACAGTAAACTGGACCTGGGTGACATAACATGTGATGTGAACAGGCACACAGAAGACTCTAAGATTCTCGAGCTCTTTGCCTCTCATTTGGATCCCAAGACCTTTGTAAACTCAAGAATCTGCTCTCTAGATGGCCTCAAAAAAATGCAAACTGTTAGTGTCAGTCCCTGAAATCTGTTGTCAGAATTGATAGTTTGGCTTCAGGACACAGTTTAAGTTGGGCAACTATTTAAATAGGATTTACTGCTTTCCAAAGACCATATTTTACCTGAGAGGATAGGTCTTAGTTTTTAGAGAAGTTAATTGAGGAACAGATAGAATCTCCTTGGTAACAACCCCAGTGAGAAGTTCATTGAGAATGGTTTTTCAAGACATCTCTTTTTGACTCTGCCAGCAGGAGTGAATATTGCTGTGTGTCAGAAGACTGGCAATGTCCAGATAGATGAGAATCTTTATGATATCTCTGCTTTTCCTTAGGCAAATCAACTTTGTTAACATTTCTGATACCGTAAGAGATGCTCACTCTAAAATGCTGTGGTTGATTTCATAGGAAAACTGGAATTTGGTTCCTGGTTACAAAGAATTGTCATGGGTTGGAATACCTGTGGTGGGAGGTGACTGCTGACAGTGTGTGGATGTATTGTTCTCCTGCAGGATTGGTACCATCAATCCTATGACTGTGTCTGTGTCATGTTTGCATCAGTACCAGATTTTAAGGTGTTTTACACGGAATGTGATGTCAATAAGGAAGGCCTGGAATGTCTGCGGCTCTTGAATGAAATCATTGCTGACTTTGATGAGGTAATTAAGCTTCTGTCAAAAATCCACTGGATTACATATTTACTGCAAAAGAAATGTTTCACTAGATCTGTGAATGTTAGACTGAACTAACTAACTAACAGAATGTAATGCTGAACTAATATTCTGCCTTCAGCCTTGCAGTCTTGAAAGATACATTCCCATCTGGTGGTTTTTTTCTAGTTACATCATCCAGTCCATTAGAACTATGGTTTGAAAGTCCTGAATTTAAGGCTCCTATTTCATTCTTTCAATAATTTTGCTTCTGTGAGCAGGTAGAGCAAAACTGTGCAACTACTCCTCAGTACTCTCTTACCTAACCTTCATGTGTTGACAGTATTCCTAGAGACATGTACTGCTTATTGTAGACAGTATAAGATTTCTGGTTAAATACTACACTGAAATATGGTGTTTAAAGTCTCAAGTTTTTATTTTCTTTCCATTCAAACAGCTCTTGTTAAAGCCTAAATTTAGTGGTGTTGAAAAAATCAAAACAATTGGAAGCACTTACATGGCAGCAGCTGGTCTCAGTGTTACACCAGGCCAGGAGAACAACCAGGTATGTTGTCTCTGAAATCTGTCTTCAGTATTCTCTGGGTTACATAGGTGTGTTTCAAAGCAACAAAACGTAATGTGATACAAAAGAGAAAGTAAATCACCCAGAGTGACTTCCTGAAATGTGGGAAAAGATGATAAAGGTATGTTTTCTCCTGCAGAATTTACTATTATCTCCTAGTTCCATTTTTTTTTTCTGAAGCAGGTATTAAGTCTGTAGCCCCAGCATATTTTTTCCATCTTTCATCTTTGATTCAAGCAGCTTAACATTTCTAGATGCAGAACAGGATGGCTCTAATAATAGGGAAGGCAAAGAATGGGAGGCAAAGAAAAGGCCAACTCAGAACTGGACAGTAAGCTTTTTGTGATAGCTGAGAACTGGCACAAAAAGAGAATCCTCAAGTGCCACATTAGGTCTGAAACCTTCTGTCACCCAGAAGAATTTAAACCAACTTCTGTACTTAGGCTCCCTCTCACTACAGCAGGTTTTGTGTGCGACATGGAGATGTGTGTAATAATATACCCAAAACATGTAAAATTAAAGCAGAAATCCTAAAGGACAGACAGGAATTTGTTACAGAATTTAATTCTATCATGCTTGTTGCCTCCTAGGCATTCTAGTTGAATTTAATGCAGTTTTAAAAACCCATTTTGAATGTTTCACTGTACAGTTCTGCAGTTACAAGGACGAGTGGTCTCATAAACACATACTCTAGTCACTGGTGTGGATTAGTATCCTGACACAGCCTTCCAGGTTGTAACTTGATGACTGATATGCAGAATTTAATTCTATCATGCTTGTTGCCTCCTAGGCATTCTAGTTGAATTTAATGCAGTTTTAAAAACCCATTTTGAATGTTTCACTGTACAGTTCTGCAGTTACAAGGACGAGTGGTCTCATAAACACATACTCTAGTCACTGGTGTGGATTAGTATCCTGACACAGCCTTCCAGGTTGTAACTTGATGACTGATATGTGTTATGACTAGACAACACGCTCACATTGGGATCATGGTGGAATATGGAATCGCCTTGATGAGTAAACTGGACGGCATCAACCGACACTCCTTCAACAACTTCCGCTTGCGTATCGGTACGTGCCGGTTGTGAAGGACACGAGCTCCACAGCTCAGGAAAGTGAGAGATGAGGTGGGATGACGTAGGATGAGTGCTGAGTGGTGTGGAACCCTTCCTCGTGCTGAACACAGCTTCTGGGTTACTACCAGATGCTGAGTAGCCAAAGGTAGGATGGTCTAGTCAGCTCTTCAGACATGCTGAGCTCCTCTGGACGGGCTGTTCTCAGCACTGCAGGGAGCAAGAGGAAGACTGGATGGGTTTGGAGGAAATGAAAGGTACACAATAAGAGCCAAGTCCCCTCTTAATGACTGTTGACTAAACACAGTATCGTCATTATGCAAATGTTTATTTCTAGATATGAAAAGCAGAAAAAGAAGAATTTTGCTTTGGCATGAACTGTGCCTTAGCTCTTCCTCCCATTTTACACTGAGTTGCTTCACACCTGAGCCTCAGTACTGGTATCTATAGAACAGTGCTAATAGTAATTGCGGGAATTGTGTTGCAGAGTTAAGTTTTGGGATGTTTTTTTCCCCTGAAGCTACAGATAATAAGCTAATGCCATCACTTTCTGCATTTGTGTCTGCAGGGATCAATCATGGCCCTGTGATTGCTGGTGTGATCGGTGCCCGGAAACCTCAGTATGATATTTGGGGCAACACTGTTAATGTTGCTAGTCGAATGGAGAGTACAGGGGAGCTTGGGAAAATCCAGGTAAGTGTAGGAGCCTTGGAATGTCAAAGGAATATTTTCTAACTGGTTGTGAAGGTGTTTTTGTTTGGGTATTTTTTGTTTGGTTTTTTTTTTTTTTGTAACTGTGAATAATCATAAGAGTTTCACAAGAGTTTCTAATTCTTTTCATGCAAAGGTGACAGAAGAAACGAGCAAAATACTCCAGGAGTTGGGATACTCATGTGAATGTAGGGGACTCATTAATGTCAAAGGCAAGGGCGAACTGAGGACTTACTTTGTTTGCACTGAGACAGCCAAATTCCAAGGTATGGGACTGAACTGAGGCTACTATGAAGTTAATCCAAATAGACTTAGAACTGTCTCCCTTCTGTGAAGACTTAGAATTTCCCTCCTTATGTGAAGGACTTTATTCTAAAAACATATATCTTCTGTTCCTGTCTCTTCTGCATCTCAAGAGAATTTCTTTTTAACAAAGAAGAGTTCTGAGAAGTTCTTAGAAGACACACAACCATCCGTCTGAAAAAGACTCCTTTCTCCTGAACTTGAGGATTTACCTGGAATTGCCATGAAGCATTTTCAGTTAGTTCCTTTCCTTACCTGCACTGTGGGAGTCGTAACAGCTCCAGCAGCAACACGTGTGGATGCACTGTAGAACTCATTACCACCTTAAAACATTCCATGGAGTCGTTCTTTGACACACACCTGCCTACAGTATTGTGTTTGTCCAGACACGTGCAGTGATGCTCTGGGCACTGCATATCCTGCTTTTAGTGCTGAACAGACTTCCCAGCAGAAGCCAGTGGAATAATGGGAAGAGGAATGCAAGTAAACTCAAATGTATCTCTGATGACTGTGCTGAGCTCCTTTGGAAAACCCCTGCACAGTATCAGATCACTTGATCATCCTCACTTCGCAGTAGTACCTTGTGTTATGCAAATGTTTTCATGACCAAGAGCTGTTCAGAAATCATCTAGTTCAGCTTGTTTACATAATATTACATGTTCTCCTTTGTGTCTCTGTATTTAGGGTCTGCATGCAGGTTTTATTCAGTCACATGAGTCTTGAAAATTTTGACTTTAAATTCCAAAGACTACAGGTGATGGTGAGGAGTGCAGAGCAGACAGGCTCTGACAGCAGCTCGTGTCACAGACTCCAGCAGGAATTCTGTGTGCTGTGCTCTTGAGGGCACTTAGGGAAGAAGAAATAATTTTTCTGAATTGCTGGGAAACTGAAGAACAGAATTACTGAGGTAGTATTAGAAACAGCAGCAGATACTGTATAAACAGAACTGTGTCTGAGGTGAGACTTGGGGTTTGGTTCTGGTTTTGTTGCTGCAGTTTGACTAGCCACTGGCTGGTTTCTATACCTTTTAAAGGCAATGCAGTTTATGAAACAAACTGGTTCTAAAGGTTAAAAAGGGATGCATGATAAAAACACATTCATAACGGAAATGTTTCAGCAGAGCCTCAATGCTGAAAGTATGTGTAGAGCATTCTGAAGATCATCATGGCAAGTGACTTGCTGTAAGTTAGTTTGTGAAGTTTTTAAGCTGTTAGTGGCTTTTGCTATTTTCTAAATTGGCATTTTTTTACTTACTGCAGTCTCTCAATCTGTTTTCTGTTGGTGGCAATGATAGTATTTTGTAAGGCTAACATCTTTTCCCCAGTTGTGTGTATGAACTAAGGGTGGATTCACCCCTCACCCCATGTAGTAGGGCTGGACAGCAGTGACTAGTGAGTACAACACCTCTGTGGTTAACCCTTACTGTTCTACAAACAGAGCAGCAATTACTAATGTTTCTGGGTCTAGTACTAACCCATCCTGGAGAAGTCTGAGAAGCAGTCCTGTGCCTCACTGCTGCTTTCTAATTACTGTGTAATTTCTTTAGAAGATGAAGTGACTATGTTTCAAGACAGGAACAAATCTAACTATTGTCCAACTGTGGATTAAAATTTGTGCTTGTAGCCTTTGTCAATTTTGTAGGTCAAATCTGTGCATGTAGTAAGTCTCCAACAGAAAACAGCAAGTTAGAAAACCTTAGTTTGAGGTTGTTTAGTTCACACATGAGCTCTGCCGCAGAAGGAAGTGTCGTAGTCGGTGTCTCGTTAGTGCAAGTCAGTGTTGTAGTTGAATAAACTTTCAAACAGCTCTTGCTACTCTGGTCTGTTGTATATTTGTAGCTACAGGTGCTCAGCAAGCATTTGTTTTGAGATATTTATTTATTGTTTTCTAGGGACCAAGCATAAGTCAAAGGCTCCTTTCAGCAGCCTTTGATGTCATGTCAGGTAAAGTGGCTATTTGTCTCATGAATCTCTTTTGAAAAGTGTGTTGTGCCTATCACTAGAGCTGGCTCTGAAGTGTTCCTGTTCGCAGGCCTAGTAGAATGTAGGTGTAATTTATCTATGAAAGAAAATTCGCTGTCTGTAACAGCGTTTGGAAATGCCTTTGTTTACATGATGTTGCCTGTCAGGCTGGTAACTTGCTTGGGCGTAACTGCAGCTCCACCTCATTTGCAGAAGTGGCAGGAGGAGCTGTGGCTTGCAAAGGGGAAGGAGCTGCGTTTTGCAGCTGGTTTCAAAGCTCTGCTCGCCTGGTGTGGGTGTGCTGTGTGTGGCCTTTGTGGGAAGATACAAACTGTGTGTAATGAAAGAGAGGATGACTAATTTCTCATCAGAACTGGAACTGTATCGTATGAGACCTATATTCAACCACAGAAAAAAGTTCAATTTAAGAAGTAACTGTATTGAAGTACTTGTTTTCAGCAGTCCTTCCAAGAGTGAACTGTGAAACTTAATGCTGAGGAAACAACCTGGTTAGAAAAATCTTCCTTATGGCATTATTTTTTTCTTAAATGGAAAAAATGGCACTGTATCTAATTTTGAAGAGCTAATAATGTCTGGAATTAGGAATCTGTTTTAAAGAACAAACTTTTTATCATGAAATAAAACACTTCCTGAAACATGTTTGGTCTTGCAGTTATTTTGATGAAGATTCCCAGGAAAAGGAGGCACATTTCTTATAGCCCTATGGAGTTAATGGAATTAGTTTTTACTCACAAAATAAACTCAATAAATGTTGTCAGTAGGAAATGCATGGAGTGACATCTAAGTGTTGAACAGCTCAAGTAATTTCAACACTCAAGAGTTCTGTCACTGGCAGCACCTCCTGCACAGTATGAAAGGTGAGTGATGGGGAGTGAGATGCTGTGGAGTGAGCCAGTAAGGGTTTGGCTGGCACAGTTGCTGTGCATCTTGTCTTCTCTTGCAGCATGAAAATGACTTAAATATTAATGGAAAAAATCATTCCCTGGAGTAGTATTTCAGCTGCAACTATCTAGAACTGAAAAAAATTCCAGTGGTGACTATTAAGAACTCTTTTGGGACAACTGAAACTCCTAGAACAAAATCCAGGTTGACAGTAAAAACTTTCTGGACTGTATTTTAAGACTTGTGAAAGTTTAAAAACAAATACTTGTTTCTGCAGCTGTTTTGAGAGAGGAGGAGGGAAGGCAGCACAGGGATGGTGGTGGTGGCCATGACTGGGGTAGAGGGTGGAATTCATGGAGCTGCTTTGCCTTTTTTACCTCTTAGTTCAGTTCCCTGCCACAACCCCCAGCAGTGACGGCTGACCCTAGGGAACTCGAACACATGTCATTCTTCTTTGAGTCCAAAATTACACTGAGACCATGGGGTGAAAAGCAACACTTAAAAATATTGAAGGGTGCGGGTGGTAGAAGCTACGTGTAGCACTGTGTGAGAGTAAGTCAGGAGGGAAACACCTCCTTGTATGAGTCACTGGCTCCACCTCTAACACTGCAATGGTGCTGGAGTTCCCTGCCTGAGAGCTGAGCTGCTGTCTGCTTTGTCTGCAGTTTTGCTGAACAGGGAAGTGACTTCTAATACTAGGAGGCTGCTAAATATATGCTCCTTTCTGATAAGCCTAAAATCTTTATCCAGACAGTGTCTAATAATACCTCCAAATAATATGAAGAGTTGTCTGAGTGTCTCAGAATCAACTGTGCTACGTTCAGTGGTTTGTTTACTTGCTGACAGAGGGTGGGTGTGGTAGTCTCACCTGATGGTCATGTGTCTGCCCTGAAGTTTTAGGATACTGTGAGCAGACAGTGAGGTTTCTCTAGGAGAACATTCATCCACATTCAAAGTCTCACAAAGCTAAGCTTTTGTTAATCCATCACACTACAACAGTTTTATACAAAAAGTTTATTTCTCTTCCTCATGTTCGTGAGAGCTGCACAGTCATTTTAAAAAGGGGAAGTTGCATGTTCAGATGCTAATAATGTTTGCACTAACCAGACTCTGAGACAGAGTCTATAGATTGCCTTTGAAAACTTTTGGTTGAGTCCCTGCACCACATTTAGGCACATTTTTAACTATGCTTTTACTCTTCCAGACACTTGACAATCTAGGAAAACTCAAATGCTGCAGAGGTGCTTTAAAATAACTCAGAATTCAAAAAGAATAATTTAGTGCATTTCTGTAGCAGAAGTAACTCTAATACAAACCCTTCCACTTCCAAAGCTCTCAGTTCCAAAAGTCAAGAAACAGAAGTAGTTTAACACACAATATACATGTGCACAGTGAATGCACCTGGAGAACATTTACCAGGTTCTTAAACAGAGTAAAAGAAACAGGTATCAACTGAACTGATGGCTCAGCTTGTAACTGCACCACACTCACTCTCAGGGATGGTGATAGTCCGTTTAGGCTCTTCAAAGTCTGAAAGTTGACACAAATAGAAGGTCAGTGAGCACAGAATGTTCCACTGAAAGACAGGCATATACAAAAGAGCTCCCCTCAAGGCATTTGCTGTTTCTGCATCTCGTCCTGAGTCAGCTGTATGCTCTGCACCAGCCCCAGACAATCCTGTGTCTCAGTTTGTTCTCTCTGCTGCAGTGCTATGGAAAAGAAAATGCTCAATAATTTTGAAATTGAAATTTATTGAGCAGTTTCCTTGAAAACATGAGTAAGTTCCCAAAGTCATGCTGCTCTTTCAGTTATTATGTGATTGAATGAAAACTTTTATAAATCACAGACTGAGTAAATTTGATGTGTGAATTTTGTTTCTTTGGAGGAAATTCTTCCCTGCCTCACCCCAACTCTGGGTGAGCTTTGGCTGTGGATGTGCCACAAGAGGGAGGTCTGGTTCTGGCACTGAGACTCTCCACTGACCATGCTCCCTAATCCAGAAAAAATGGGAGTTACTTTTGGCTGGATGAGTGAGTTGAACTCGTGCTGTCAATTTACAAAGCACGACAGCTGGCCAAATTAAGTGGAGTGCTCCAAAAGGAGCACACAGCCAAAA